GCACATTATAATCTTACAAAAAAAGTTATGCCGACCAATAAGCTTTATCATCATATCAAATAAGGCAATGACATACTGGCATTGATCTATTTTTTTCCCTTGAACAACTCAATAGACCGAGACTCTAAAATATTTCTCTCTTTTTTGCCACCAAAGATGTTTATTATCTGATGGATTTTTATGGATAAAAATTTAAAATACCGCCAAAAAGCGCTCATTTAAAGCATTTTCATAAACATTTTATTTCCATACTTCGCACATTTTTTGTTTACATTTTTTTTTATCGCAAAAGTAAAAGCTTTTTTTGTCACACTACAAATGTTCCTCGAGTGTGTTCCTTTGCGGCAAATTAATCTGTCTTCTTATGAGGATTATTTAAACATAAATGATAAAAATGTAAATACTACAAAATATAAGATTCGCATCCTCCTTTGTAGATTGAGGATTTATAATATTTTTATTGGAATTTCTATTTATAGCAAATTCTCTTCACATTTTCAATATTCCTTTTCTGTCTCACTCACACAACATGCTTGTCATCTTGAAATTGGATTTATCAAAAAAAAAATTCGAGTTTTATTTTTGTTTTCAGCCAGAAAAAAAATTCTTATGCATAAAAAAAAATCTTTTTTTTTGCTTCATCACACAACACACAAAAAAAAACTCTGGTTGATTATAATGGCGCCAAAGAGTATTAAGTCAACATTCCAATATGTGACGAAAATTTCGAGAGAAGATCCTGGTTTGATCAGAAGAATTTTGGTTGATGACTTTTTTGGCGCAATAATTTTTATAGCTTTTTGGGTCTGACTTAACAAAAATATTTATTGCAAAACAAAAGAGAATTCGTTTAGTGAATGACATTTAATAGAGGATGTGTGTAGTGTCTGTGGACGTGTGAATTACTGGAAATTTAAAACCACCCAATCATAAACTTGGCGTCGACTGTTGAAATTTCTGGAATATTTTCGTTGATTCGATATGCAAAAAGCTTCTTATAATATTATTGGATGTCATCCCGGGGGTGATTATATAAGATTTTGTTTATTTTCGGTGACTTTCTGGTGCCAGATAAAAAATGTGAATGTTCTTGTTGCGGTTAAAGTTTGAGATGATTTAATTCTTGAGAAACTTGTTGTGTTACAACATTTATTGGGATTTTTTTTTCTGTTGTTGCTGTTTTTGGCGTCTGAACTGTTTGCTTAAGGATTAATGAGAGTGTTAAAGTCGAAGAGTCAATCTAGAACTTTCTTTTGGTGGGTATCAGTGGGTTGAATATTATTGAACGGTTTTCGATTGATATTATGCTTAGCTTTGAGGTGAATGGAAGTGTCAAGGTGATCTAGAAGGTTAATCAATGAAAAGCTAGGATTTCAGTGACTATTTATGTTACACCAAATGAAACCATTGCATGTCTGCTTGTCAATTACAGTCAAACTGAGAATCTAGTTTCAAATTCAGCAAGTTTCCGATCACTAGTTAAGTTAGGATTGAAATGAATGCTAGAAATTGAGGTTTGAGTTGATGAGATGCTCAAGAATGATGCAAACAGGTCAAAAGCTTCGTAATTTAAGTTTGATTGATATTCGAGTCATAAATCTAGCTCTATGAACCTCATTTAAGAAATTCTAGTGATTTGGTCCATGATTTAAGATTCACAAAATTCTATAATTGATCTTTCAGCTTTCAAATAATCGATTCCCTCATGAAAGACCACTTCAACCATACAATCGAGGAATTTTAAACTTCACAATAATAATCCTAAAAAGTTCCTCAACCTTGATCGACTTAAAACAAAAAAAAAAACAATCTCCAAATAAAATATCTAAAAATATCCAGCCGAAAATATTTTAATTAGAAATACCAAGAATATATTTTTTTATTAATCCCACTCAATTGTGCATTCTCGACAAGGTGATTCAAAAAACCCATCAACAAAGGAATTTTAATTTCAATCTCCTCAAAATCCTTGTTTGCATCGTGCAGAAAATATTTCTATAAATATAACTTTACAGTCGGACAATCTGCCGTAATAAAACACTTAATGTGATCCTATAAACATGACAATAAAAATTCTCATCACCAAAAAAAAAAGAATAATATTTTAGACAAATAAAAATGAAGAATTCGTCTTGGGTGGAAAACAGCCATAAATCAATATCGAAGCTCAATATTGAAGTGTTTTGTCGCCGAAATTCTATTTACATTCTATTCTAGTTATGGCCATTTCCAATCAATATCTTCAAAACATTCCAGAAAAAAAAATATGACAAGTCGGCAATAATAAAAGTTTTTATTGAGTAGCTCCGCTTGTCACCATTTATATCAGCTGTTAAAAAGTATAAAGTGTCGGGGCGCTAGATATAAACTTATCAATTTTGCATAATCTCTAATTTATTTGATGGATATTATCTAAATAATTTCGGTATTCCATTGATGATCGTGTCCGGCGTCATTGCTTATCCTGGCTGCAAAGAAAAACATGTGACTGTTTTCATCAGAACTGAGCGACTGTCTCAATTATGTCTATTTTTACGAAATAAAACCACGTGGTTGTGTTTACATAACCATAACCATTCTTACTAATTTTATTCTTTGTCCAAAGCAGATTATGTCCAACGATTATAATTTCTAAATAGATAATCAATAGTTCATCAACATTGAGTCATCATCATACTCGTATTGACCAAAAATAAAAAATAAATCTGTGTAGAATCATTTTTAAAAATACGAGAAGCCAAGGTCGAGGCTGCTTCTGCAATTTTTTTGTTTCTCTCTCACTCTCTGTATCATTCTGATGCTTAAATGTTATTCAAGTGATCTTGAAAAAAAATATATTTTTTATTTGATGATAATAAGCTTCCAAGAAATGGAATTTCTACGTCGCAATATTTTCATATTTTTTCATCAGTTTTTTAACTGTGACTTAAACAAGATTTTTCTTCTTGACCGAACCACCATGAATTTAGAATTTAGCAAAATATACCCCCATGTGAGCAAAGAATAAAAATAGAATGAACGCTGAGGAATTTTCACCATGATCGACCACCAAAAGATAAAACAAAAATGTTATTTTTCTAGATGGAATTATGCAAATGGCATTGGGAAAGGTGAATTTGAACAGACGAGAACCAGTAATGATGACTTTTTACAAATCTGGGATTTTTCTTGTCACTATCATAAAATTAATGATAGTAAACTACATATTCTGAGCTAAAATAGGGGTCCTTAAGAGTTGTTTTGTGTTAGAATTGGAATCTGATCTGAATCAAGTCATGAGATAATGAATTTGCGGGTTAGAAAAATAATTAAGAAGTTGATATGTTGCTGAAAGGCTCGACAATCTTAATATCTTATCTTCTGTAAGAATAATAGGTTCAATTCCCATCAGAAACTAATATTTCATAGATTTTGATCAAATCTTAAATATTCAAACTGAAAATTCTTAAATTTTGAATAAGAATGAACAACAATCTGACCAAAAATGCCCAGAGTTCCAAATCATATGACGCGACGACGATTAAGCACGCGTTATCAATGATATGATCGTGGAATTCCCTTTTCAATGGGTAAAACCTCAATAATCAAAACATATTGTCACAGCATGATTATTGAGAATTTTGACTATCTAATTTGAATTTCAATCGATAGACGCGTGTCGTCATGATTCTACGAAATTGATTGTTGTTACAGTAGCTAGAAATGGTCATGAGGAATTCAAAAAACAAATATTGTGAATCAGATTAATTTTTGGAATTCTGATGTGTTGTTCTTAATCCTTCTGTTGACAAGACATGTTTTGATAGTTGCATATGAATTCTATAGATTGAGCTTTGTCTGATGATCAACATGTAGTTCCAAAAGTAAACAAAAATCAACATGTTGACAACCATTCCGGATACAATGAGTTAGATCCTTCTAGCACAAATTAATCCATCAATAATTCTCCAGAACACCAAAGAAGCTTCGACCGCAAAGCTTAATGTGAAACGCATTAAAATTGCCACGCAAATGTCGCACAGGCTCAAACAAATATTTTGACAGAATCCAATTTTATTACCCTTAATCCCAAAACTTATAACACCGATTTAGACATCAAAAAAAAAATTTATCAAAAATAGGTGCCGAACATCCTGTCTTTAAGATTAAAGTTTGTTTTCATCTTTGACCGCTGTTTACATTTTTATAATCTTAATTGTGAATATTTTTTGTAAACAAAGAAAAGCCGGTATAATTTATGATTGTAAACAGTTAACAGCTGAATAATCCATCTTACATGATAGCTTTAAAGCTCCAAATTTGTACAAAAAGTCGAAAATCTCTCCTTTTATGCCCCTAACTTAGTCCATGCTAAATATAGAATCTCTCAAAATAAGAATATTCTATGCATCTTCTCTCTCTGTCTTAAGCATTTAATTCCGGTTTGATCCGCTCGAATTTTTCATCTGCTCACCGCAATAACATGTGTCAGTAGTTACCAAAAAAAAATCTGTTCGATTTCCAACACTAAAGAAACTTGTTCCGTACCCAAAAAAGAATTCTCTGAATTAAATCTAGACATTTCTCTCCTGCGATCTTTTTTCTTTGTTTTTCTTCTTCCTTTCGTGTTTACAGTTTTGTTGTTTCCAAAAAAAAAGAGAAGATGAAAAAAAAAGCACAAGAAGAAAAAAAATCCTCGCTTACGTATTGGAATAATATATAAAAGAGATGTGAAGCTTCATCGATTCAATCAGTTTTTGAAAGTTTTTTGAAATCATCAGATCGTTAATAAGTTTTTATACTTACTATAAATTTTTGCTGTTTGCAAATTGAAAAAGTTTTATTGAAAAACAATATTTGTGGAAAAAAAGATTGAAAATAATTTTTTTGTGAAGGAAAAAAAATAGTTTGAAAAAAAAGACAAATTTTTGAGTTTCTCAAGTGAGGATTAAAGTTAATCAACAAGTGAAGTTCTATTTGAAATAAATTCAAAGTTTAAAATTTGCTGAAAAATAGTCAAAATGCAGTTACAAATTTTTGCAAGCATTGTTGTGAGTATTTCTTTGTTATTGTTTTGATTTTTTGAGGGAAATATTTTTAAAATGAATTGATTTGTTTTGAACAAGTTCAATAATTAATTTTGTGGAGTTGTAGATTGTTCAATTTATTTATATAAGTTGGAATTCTAATGTTGTTTAATTTCAAAATTTCCAATAGTTTTCTCTCAAATCTTTGCGTGATTTCGAACAAATAATTAAGAATAGTGAAAATGTAAATCTTAAGAACAAAATTATTTTAAATTAAATCTTTAAATTTAGCTTCAAAGTATACAAACTAAGTTCAACCTTAAGATTTATATTAAATCAAGATTCAAAGAATCTAAAATTTGATAGTTTTTAAGTTCTTTGAATTGGTTTCAATTCAATTAAATTCAAATTCTAGTTCAAATTTGAGTCTTCAATTAAAAATTGTTTCAACATTAAAAATAAATATATTCAAATTGAGAACTTTTAATCTAAAATGCAAAAAAATCGGCAAGAAGCCACATGGTTAGCAAATCTTAACATTCTAACTTGGCGCCAAGATTGCAACATTCCCGAATTATTTGCATTTTCTTGTCATTCTCAAGAGCTTTAACAATAATTTATTGGTCTAATTTTAGAATTCAAGATTATTCTGATGAAATGAGTAAATAAATAATGAAATTTAAGTTTTCAAGTTCAAGATCTAAAGAATAACAATTGATTGGTTTAATTGCTGATGATCGATATTTCAAAAGTTACCAAATTATTCATTTTTAATAAAATTCTAAAATTAGACTTAAAATTCAACTTAAACAAATCTTTAACAAATTATTTTCATAAAATTCAACACTTAAATCCCCTCAATATCCAAAAAATTCATCAATTAGTCTTCTTAATTAGCATCATTATAAAAAAAATCTCAAAAATAATCAAGATCCTATTAGCAGCATTTTAGCGCCAGTCGATTAAGCCACAGACATTTAAACGACTCTCATATCATTTATAAAACCATCGGAAATTTGACACTAATTTTATTACCCAAACTTAGAATTTGAAGTCCATTAATTGACAATAAAAAAAATCTCATACAAAAATAACTTTATTAATATATGAGACGAAAATAGCCCCTCTTCTAGTTCCGTAATGTGCATTGAGATATGAATAAATTTAAAACTTTATTCTTGACGTCTTTTGCATTTAACATCGTGAGTTCGAACGGATATTCTAAAGACTTTTTATATTCATTCATAAATAAAATATTTCAAGAGTATCGATCCGGATTTTTTGTGGTCATTATGCAAGTTTGTTTTGAAGATGAGAGCTGAAATTTGAATATTTAATAGTTCTTGAAATAAATTTTTTGGCATGGACTGATTTGGATATTTTTTTTTGAGTTCAGCCTTGACAGTTTTGCGTTGGATTTGCTGAGTCAGAAATTATTTGGGGGTTACACGTGGGGTCAGATAAACAATTTTGACTAATTAGCAAAACTTTCTTCTAATTCTAGCTATTGGCCCTCTTCCACTTCTCATACTTGGATGCACATCCATATGGTGACAAAATCCAGCTTCTAGATCGCAAATTCAGAACTCGAGTTGCACAACAAGATTCTGCTTTTACATTCAGTGCTGCTCAAGATGGTGTTGAATTAGGATGCTGGGGATACATCAAGGATGGTCGTCCATTCAAAATGTACTATGTCTATGACATGAAAGACTACCGCTTCATCACAACAACAATGAGATTCCAAGTTCATCCACCAAATGGCAAGAAACGGTAAGAACTGAGTCATTTATTGTCCACAGAATTGTCACTAAAAAGTTCCTTTTTCCACAGCTTTGCTATCTTGACACCAAAAGGAAAAGCCGACAAAGAAAAGACGACAAGTGACGTCCTCAGGTATCCCGATGAGTGTCTCTAAATATCCATAATATGACACAATCCATCATCACACATTCCCCTCCCTCTCCACACACCATGCATTGATACATTATGCTGATTAATTTATGTTAGAAATAATTTTTAAGTAACGATATAAGATGATGAAGTAAGAAGATGAAGAATAAGAGAAACGGTACTGAATATTTTGAAAAGAGAAAAAAATGAACACAAAAAAAAAACAATAATTTTTTACATCAACTTCTCGCTCAACGTGATATTTTTTTAGATTTTTTAAATACATATTTTTTTGTTGTTATAATAATTCTCTCTCGAATGTCAACCAGACGTATGAATAATCAAGCAATTAATTTATGGCTAAACAAAATGTGCTGAAAAATAGCCATGCAAAGCATTTTAGCAGTATTTTTGATGATTATTTTATATATTTTGTTGTTATATGGCGTTGGGCATGAAGCTATACAAATTTTTTTTCAAAATATCCACTTAAATGCCATTCAAATCGGTTAAATACACAGAAATAGACAGAAATTCTTGATCCGTGTTGCTTAATTTAGAAGAAGACATTTGATAATAACGGATGAAGATTCCATTCTTCTTTTTCTGTGTGTCCAGACTGAATTTATTGAAAAATAAGAAGAAGACAAAAAACTTTATAATCCCAGTTTGACATTAATCAGTCTAATGATTAATTTGTCTGCTGAGATTATGCCTGAAAAAAAAAACATTAGCTAAGAATAGCAAAAGAATCTGTCGAAAGAGAATATAAAAAACGCATTTGATTAGTTATGTAAGAGAGAAGTTTTAGGTTTAAGGAATAAGAATCAAAAACAAAAACTTGAAAAAAAAAATTCTTAAATATATTTATTTTTCACATTTTTAAAAATGAAAAAAATTGTTTTATGATTTATATTTATATATTGCTGCTTTCAGGCCTGATTTGACCTTCCATACTCTATACAAACTCATAATTTCAACAAAAGAAAATTCTAACGGTTTTTAAAAATTCAAATTTTTGCATCTCTTTCTGCATCTCCCGCAAATTATCTGCATCATTAATCAATGAACAAAACCACGTTGATCAATTAACAAAACATAAAAACAGCAAATGAAGCCAATAAATCATCCAATTCCAGCATAACCATTTCAACAGCTCACTTATCAACAGACAGGAAGCTAGTGCAGCTAATTTGAATTCAGTCTAACACTTCTGATAATTTAAAAATGAAATATTTATGAGACTAATTTTTAAAAAATGTTCTAAAAGATTCATTTCCATCATCAAACGGCGTCTAACATCTTTTCTAAGTATGGATAGGAGTTGTTCATAAATAACGACTAGCAGTAAAAGGGGAAAGGAAGGTTTGAGGCTCAATATTCTACAGGAAGGTAAAGCTTAGCTAATATAAACCTTATAGGTAGCTTCTCCACATTTTAATAGTAGCTTGAACACTTTACTAGTAGCTTGTGTATGCTTAATAGTGTGAAATCTGTTCTTTTGTATTAAAGCTCTAAAACAAAGAGTAGAGAAGGTCTATAAAACTCAATTATCACTAGCCATCACTTCCGAAAGATTCCCAAGATGAACAATATTTTTTATTCAATATTTCTATGCTTTGTCTTCCTCAATAAAACAAAAATGTGTATAAGTGAATTAATTTGCTACTATAGACTAATTAATAAGCATGATTAATCATCAAACACAAAAATATTCCAATCTTTTAATCGATTTTTTTTTTCGCGAATCTTCGAATTAAAAAAAATCATCGAAAAGAAGACCAATAGTGACATTATTATTGATTTCAAGGTCATGAGCGACAGAGTTTTTTGGTCTATAATGTCCGAAATATTTAAGCTACCCATATGTTTAATCTTGTCAGTCGTGCCTCTAGGAAACTCGTCTCATTTCATCTTTATTGATGATTTTTAAACGAGCATCTCGCAGATTTTTTTTTAATCTTCAAATATTTGTGCAAAATTATGGAATCTCTAATGCTAGTTAATATTCAATAAATTCCATGTCAAGATTTTAATGTCGCATTCAAATTTAATGCTGATTATCCATGCTCTATATTATTTAATGGAAATTATCACATCAAAAATATGTTCAATGTGAAATATTAATGTTAAAGATGAAAAGAGACACAAAAATTACCGAACGGAGATTAAAAGTCATTTCATTTCGTGGCGTTGCTTTTACTTTTGAGGTCATTTTATGTTTGAGAATGAGAGGGCAATATACATAAGATATAAGTTGATGTAGCTTGCTATGTTTGGATATTGTTGGATGGAAAGCATTTAAATATTTTCTATAATTTGAACTTTAACTAGCTCCTTATAAAATTTGGAACGAGCGTCTTTAATATAATGTCAATAACTGTATAGCAAGGCCAAACTATAACATTTGTTATTTATATGAATATATGCAGCTTTAGTCTTAAGAACCAGTGTCTAAAGCAGTGTTGTCCAAACTTTTTTGAGCCATGGCACACCTCAGAGATAAGCCATTATCAAGTCGCACTCAGCAAACGACTCTAGTGTGCCACGGCACACAATTTGAACCAACACTGGTCTAGAACAACTTGAGACAGTCAAATTTACAAAAATATCAAATCTACTCAGCCACACCGACCATACTGCCTTAAAACTTCCCATCATTTCCCCCCAAATAAATCGCAATACGCAATAAGTATGTAAGTAAGCAAATAAGTATGAAAAAAGAAGGAATTAATAATTGAAAAGAATAAAGAAGCAAGAAGAGAGAGAGCACAGAAATCACCAAAGCAAATTTCCTGTCACTTTCAATTTTTCACAGATGATGGTTCGTAAAAAAATAAGTACAAAGAAGATGCTACCAAAAAAAATGGACATGCAAATGTAAATTTATGTGGATTTAAATATTTTTTTTAAGAATTGAGAATTAAGTGGCTGTAGGAAATATAATAATTCTATTGGCATGTTTATGTTGCTGTTTTTTATTCTTTTGTTTTCCCCGCACCCTCAATTATTTTGCTGCTGTGTTGTAAGCATAAATATCTCATAAGAAAATGGAAGAATTGCGATAAAAAAATCCACAAGAAATGAATTTAATCTATTTCTTCAGTTGGCTTGATAATAATGACGAAAAAAAGAATCCATTGAATATTTGTGTTGTAGGTTTGGAAGAGGAGAGGTTGGTAATGTCCGCAATGTTTATTTGACTGACTGTCCATCTCACAATTTTGGAAACTTTCTCTTGTTAATTATAAGATTTCATACAAAATTCTTCAAAAACTGGAATCTTTCTCTTGTGAAGTATAAGATTTCATAGAAAATTCTTCAAAAACTGGAATCTTTCTCTTGTGAAGTATAAGATTTCGTAGAAAATTCTTCAAAAACTAGAATCTTTCTCTTGTGAAGTATAAGATTTCATAGAAAATTCTTCAAAAACTAGAATCTTTCTCTTGTGAAGTATAAGATTTCATAGAAAATTCTTCAAAAACTGGAATCTTTCTCTTGTGAAGTATAAGATTTCGTAGAAAATTCTTCAAAAACTAGAATCTTTCTCTTGTGAAGTATAAGATTTCATACAAAATTCTTTAAAAACTGGAATCTTTATCTTGTGAAGTATACGATTTCATAAAAAATTTTGCAAAAACTGGAATCTTTCTCTTGTGAAGTATAATATTTTATACAAAATTCTTCAAAAACTGGAATCTTTATCTTGTGAAGTATAAGATTTCATAGAAAATTTTGCAAAAATTGGAATCTTTCTCTTGTGAAGTATAAGATTTCATAGAAAATTCTTCAAAAACTGGAATCTTTCTCTTGTGAAGTATAAGATTTCATAGAAATTTCTTCAAAAACTGGAATCTTTATCTTGTGAAGTACAAGATTTCATAGAAAATTTTGCAAAAATTGGTATCTTTCTCTTGTGAAGTATAAGATTTCATAGAAAATTCTTCAAAAACTGGAATCTTTCTCTTGTGAAGTATAATATTTTATACAAAATTCTTCAAAAACTGGAATATTTATCTTGTGAAGTATAAGATTTCATAGAAAATTTTGCAAAAATTGGAATCTTTCTCTTGTGAAGTATAAGATTTCATAGAAAATTCTTCAAAAACTGGAATCTTTCTCTTGTGAAGCATAAGATTTCATAGAAATTTCTTTAAAAACTGGAATCTTTATCTTGTGAAGTACAAGATTTCATAGAAAATTTTGCAAAAATTGGTATCTTTCTCTTGTGAAGTAAAAGATTTCGTAGAAAATTCTTCAAAAACTGGAATCTTTCTCTTGTGAAGTATAATATTTTATACAAAATTCTTCAAAAACTGGAATCTTTATCTTGTGAAGTATAAGATTTCATAGAAAATTTTGCAAAAACTGGAATCTTTCTCTTGTGAAGTATAATATTTTATACAAAATTCTTCAAAAACTGTAATCTTTATCTTGTGAAGTATAAAATTTCATAGAAAATTTTGCAAAAATTGGTATCTTTCTCTTGTGAAGTATAAGATTTCGTAGAAAATTCTTCAAAAACTGGAATCTTTCTCTTGTGAAGTATAAGATTTCATAGAAAATTTTGCAAAAATTGGAATCTTTCTCTTGTGAAGTATAATATTTTATACAAAATTCTTCAAAAACTGCAATCTTTATCTTGTGAAGTATAAAATTTCATAGAAAATTCTTCAAAAACTGGAATCTTTCTCTTGTGAAGTATAATATTTTATACAAAATTCTTCAAAAACTGGAATATTTATCTTGTGAAGTATAAGATTTCATAGAAAATTTTGCAAAAACTGGAATCTTTCTCTTGTGAAGTATAATATTTTATACAAAATTCTTCAAAAACTGTAATCTTTATCTTGTGAAGTATAAAATTTCATAGAAAATTTTGCAAAAATTGGTATCTTACTCTTGTGAAGTATAAGATTTCGTAGAAAATTCTTCAAAAACTGGAATCTTTCTCTTGTGAAGTATAAGATTTCATAGAAAATTTTGCAAAAATTGGAATCTTTCTCTTGTGAAGTATAATATTTT